TTTGACTCCAGTTCCAAATGATGTGCCGGGTAAGGAAGTATCCACGATAACGAAAGCAATAACAACAGCAACGAAAGTGGCGATGATAACGAGAACGACAGCGCGCACACACACAATAAGGACTACATCGACAACAGTAGCAATGCTGATTCTGTCGACATTGAATTTTAGACATTGGCAGAGGCGGCATGATACTCAGTACGTTGAATCACCTATTCCCCATGACTGAACGAAGGGAAAGTCACTAGCAAACGAAAGGAACTATAAACGAAAGTAGACGATATTCCAGCTTGAGCTGTGCGTGATGCTTCGGTGACAACAAAGGAAAGGCAGGCGAGCATAGCAGAAGTAACTGCGACTGAAAGTTCTTTTACGTGTGGAAGGTTAACTTTCGCAAGATAAAGAGGAACAAGGTCGTACAACTAACCGGTGGGGGAATGGAAGAAAGGTGCGTGAACGAGCCGTGGTGAAAGCGAGCTCCAAAGCGTAAGAAAGGAAGGTTAATGGGCTATCGGATATAGGGTAGTGAATGAGGCATGAGTTTGAAAGTAATGACTGCGAAGCAGACGGCACCACTGACGAGAAGTAACTGTGGGTTGTTTGAAGCAGTTTTGGGCCCTAAAGAATGGTAGAAGTGCAGATCTCTCTTTTCCGTTTCTTCATGTTGGACCTGAGCGCAACAATAATTGCAGTAATAAGCAAACCACTTAGTTATAAGTGAGATAATAATGATTTTAGTCAAAATTATACAGCACGGATCTCACCTAGACTTCGTTCTAGTAAAACAAAGCAACCAACAAAATTGTTAGTCACGTGCATAGATTCTCAAAGTTTAAATAGGCTGTTTTTTGCCAGGTCCAGTTGATAATCATAATGCGAACTTTAAAAATCAAGAACCCCATCACCGCAAGCATTGGGCCGTATCATATGCGAGAACCACCTTGTAGCCTGTGTGTCATAACGCATTTTACATGACTTGCACACCCCGGCCATGGTATCTTACTTCTTGCCGTTTGCGTGCCCTTTAGCCACAGTCATCGTGCTACTTCTAATTATCCTTTGCTTTTCTGCTAAGCCTGTTAGAGCTGAGTTTGGGAAAAGCGGTGTTCATTGGCCCAACTAACGGAGTCATAGATTCTATGTCGTGTAAAGATTTTAGCACATACTATGACCCAAAGCGATTCTACGACCTCAGGCACATTGGTGACATCGGCTTCGACGTATAGGTCACCCTTCAAGATTGCAAATGCTGCCTGGACTAGCCTACAACAATATCCTTTCTTGCTGCTACTAACAGATCGTCGTTCGTGATTCGAAAGCTCACTGTTACTGCGGACTTCAGCCCGTCACTGCTTGCTTTTATCTGTACCTTCTTCCTCGCTGCCTCCTATCAATAAAAGGGGCGTAGTCCTCTGAGTTAGGACGTTTGACAAAAACAACCAACCTTTTTGCCTTTGCCGTCGTTGTCGATGGCGGCGATGTTTGCTGCAACCATCTTTGCCACAGGAGGAGACCAATGGGGTAGAACAGCTAGGCTCTGAGCACAGGCGCTCAGCTTTGCCGCGGGGACTTTTCGCACATCGGGCATTATAGTATAAAAGCTCCAACAGTAACCACCGTATATCGTGGAACGTTAGCAGTGGCATGAATGGGGGTGGCGTGGCCAAGCACGTATCGCCAGAGGTACGGAAAATGTATACACAAAGTTGGCTAACGCGGACTCGGTAAAATAAAACGGTCCGTAACAGCGACAACAACAAAGTAACAGGCAAAGCCTAGAAAGGCTGAACTTCCAGTGTAGGCCGGTGTATGGGAAGAAAGAAACGTCTGTACTTTGGACGAGGAAAAGCTACATCGCCAGTAGCAGTAGCGGACGGGTTTTCCCGTCACCGTGCTTTAGATTGAAAACTTACTTTGCCCTCCACCGTAACAGGGCTACCGTCATCATTAGAAGCAAAAGCGAACTAGCCGTAGGTAATAGTCTGCAGTGACTCATGGAGTTCGTTGACGGCCTGGCTTCACTTCGCTGATCTTAAGTAACTTTCAAGCTAAATTTATCTACGTAGATAACTCGAAGTTCACATGAGAACGGTCACAACAGCCAAAGGAACTCTTGACTGAAACACATCTGATTTGTGAAAAATATTTTGATGCTTGATTCGAGTGTAGAGGTCTGCTGGCCCGACATTTTCTCGTCAACTGTGCGGCTCATGCAAACAGCACGACACCTTTAATTTGCTTCCTCGATGGAGAAGGTCGGTCATTCGGGCTGCTTAAAATGATCCCGACCGTAATACGCGGTATATCTAATCTGTTTGATCATACACCAACTATTTAAGAAGCGTGTTCAGTTCAGCGCATATGCTGAAGGTAGCATAACTCCTTGCCCGTATTTCAGCGAGCTACTAAAGTGATAGCTTCAAGAAAAGGTACTGCTCCTTTCTTTGAAAGGAAGTCTTTCTCAGATTTTTAGATTAAAGATGGGCTAAGTCACTAAACTAAGCTCTATGTTATGGCCGTCAGGCCAGACTAACCTAACGCAGACCGAAAAATCCGTACATTGAGATTTGAAACCGGTTCGATTCTTCGGCCCCATCCGCCCACCCAGATGTAACATCGTTTTGGATCCTGTCTGTGACTCACTGCTGGCTACGCGGGTCCAACCGCACAGTCCGAATGTGGTCCTTTCTTCCATAATGAATCCAGCGAATACCTAAGGGTTTCTTTAGTGGGAGCTTTTGTTGCGTCGCTGTCTGGCCGGTTTGCTATGCCCAAATAGTTCTTGCTTTTCCCAATGCCGCTTTGGCATCGCACTGAATCACTGGTTTCATTCTTTTTCGTGAGGAGCTATTTGTCGTTGTTGTTTTATCGGCAGTTGCTGGTGACCTCCGCGGCAAATGGGATGGTAGCAATAAAAGCAGCTGCAGCTGGAGGCCATCTCTCAAAAACAAACTTATATGCTTCGACACTCACATTTAACTACTTACCCTATCCAAATAAATAGTACACTTGACATAAACATATTGAGCTCCTACAATGTTTCGTTAACAATAATATTAGCCACTTGTAAAGTCAATATATTTGATAACAGCGTGGCCCCTTTCTGGCAAAGACAGTTGCGTTCGCTTGTTCTAACTCACTCCCGGTCGTTAGGATGCTCCCCCAGAAGTCTTTGCCCCTGCCTTGTCCCGTCTGCATGCTCCTAAAGCTATCCAAAAAACGTTACCTCAGGGACTAAGAGAAAACAGTGAATTGTTCTGTTGAAAAAATGTTGATCGCAGTTGTCCTTAGTCGTCGGCACAGTTGTGCACGAGCGTGCGCAATGCGGGTCGCAGACAACGAGCTACCGCATATCTCTCTAAACACACTTCATCGCTAATTAATACTGGCACTCTGATGATCTTCGTACCCGACAACGATTGTGCGACCGGTGGATGCTTAGTACGAATTGGCAGATAGCCCGGAAGAGAGCGCACTTATCAAGGCCGAATCGGTCCAACTGGGTCACCAAGATGGAAGTTTTTCCTGAATACACGTGCAGGTTTGTGTCAGGCGGTGTGACGAAGCGGAGCCGCTTACATGGTTTCACACATAAGCTTGTTTGTGACGAGATTATTATTCGCATTCCTGAGCCGGCGAAGTAATAGAGGAATTGCGTTATATTGTTTTAGCTGGCGACAACAGTGGCGTCCCCGCTAGTGCCACCGCCTACTTCACAACGGCGGCGAACCGTTGTTCACTTAATTACATTAGATGTCAGCTGGTTAGGATTTATTAACGACCTCCGTTTCGGTTTATCCATTTGGTATTTTACCGGTTCTTTTGCGTTTCCTTTAACCGAATACTATGTTAAATTTGATATGCGTTAAATCTAGGCGAAGGGGAACAGCACCGCTTTTCGTTTCGTATATCGAGACCAGGCCAAGCTAATCAACTTAGGACAACGAGAGCAACGATGGCGGCTAGTTGTGGAGCCGTCAAATGCATCCAACTTGGAAAGTGTGCTCGAAGCAGAAGGAGGAGAGGATTCAATTGTGTATAGCCTACTGTTTCCGTTGGATTGTACAGAGGTTGACTTGTCTTGCGAACGAAGCATTTCGCCATTGCTGCTGTTCACTCAAGATACGCGGCGGAAACCTTTGATCGACATCTACGACAAGCTGACGTACCAGATGTCGGCTGGTCGGTAGCCATGCGGCGGGTACTGTAGAACTCCTTTTAGCGTTCCTCGTCTATTTCTGGTAGCCAGAACAATAGCGGATTATGTACCAACGTGTAGTTCTACCTGAGTGTCTCTCAATGAAATCATGCTGCTCGATGGGTGCGTCGTTCAAAGTGTACATAGATAAGCAGTCAGCGTTAGCGAGCGTCGGAAATGAGGCAGAACTTAAAATGTGTTCGGATTTAGGGAGAAATGTGAGAGAAATACCCAACACGCTTGCCCATAGTTCTGCCAGCAGGTCAACGAGGCGTGCAATCCATCGTTAAAAGGTATTACTACGACTCCATTGCACTATGTACCATTATAATTAGAAGGGCCCAAGTGTTGTATGGAAGTGACCCAAGTGAATATTTCATTTAAACATAGGCGGCAGCACATCGCATGGGCAGAAAGGTATATCTTCTGTGCCTATAGAAGAAATTTAATAATTTTCATAATAACATTATATCACACAATACGTTACACCTTTATAATTGGATTACGTTATAAACGACGACATTGGTGCTTGTTGCGATAATCTAGATCACCAAACAATAAGCAAAAATTCGATAAAGCAAGTGATGCTCGGGTCGTACACTCTGTGTGACCCGATGTCAGATTAATATGTGTTGGTGGAGTATTGCTTGTAAACAGTGTCTAGCGCGTATGATCTGCATGGGTCAACAAAATCATCATCACCGCGTTGCCGCAGTCGCAAGCTGATAATCTCACTGCTAGGTGCTGACATATATCTATATACACATATCTAGCGTAATATTTGCTACCTGTAGGTACTTACCACCAGGGTCCTTGCCACCGACATTGTAGCCCGTGCGAAAGTGTGCTGCGGGCGGAAAGGCAGCGGGCGGTGGGGGATGCACGGTGGATGAGTGCTGCGAGATGTCTTTGCCCGATGGGGGCGGCGACGCCGGGTGCGACGTGTCCATTGCTATGCCTCCGACTACGAGCTCACACTCCTTTGTTAGGGAGCAGCCCGACGCGCCAGAAGACCCCGACGACCCGCTTCTTGACGCTGCGAGAAGGCAGACCCCTGAAGAGCCATATTGGAACGAAATGAAACGGAATCCACCGAAACGTAAGTAACAGGATGGCGTGGCATAGCCGTATATTGTAAGTATAAGTCGCAAAGTAAGCGACGTTTTGCGAGATGTATCAACGCGAATATGTAAGTAGGTAAGAGGAACAACATAGAAGAATGGGAACTCCCCTTCCCTTTGCAGCAGATGAGACAGTTCTATTATTAGGGGAAACGCGTGGAGCCATTGAGTCGTATTGTGCGTTTCAATTATACGGCTACCCCTTCAATTGGAGGAGACTTCCCACGAATATCGTGACTAGTGCTAATGTTTATGGAGGGAGGGCCGTGATAATGGCAGAGTTAATGAGGAATTCGTCTGGCTATGTTTGCCGATACGATTGCCTAGATATACTAATTCTACCGACGTGTGCTTGATTCACTGTTGCCGTCAGCAATGACGTTACGATAATTGCACCTGCTAAAAAAAACCGTCACTTCATGGGATGATGATCAATATCATTCTTTACTGGACTCAAGCGAGAGGCACGATGTTCTATTGACGCTACCCAACACGGCCATCACAACACAGGCTGATCGGTTTGTACGTCGATAGCAAGCTATAAGTAAGCTTTGTCGTAGTTATTATCCTAATATAAGCTAGGGATAATTTTTTAGGTTGACTTGACATGCTTGCGTAAGGTAGAAGCAGATAGCGCCAAAGTCGCAATTTGATTATACTTCGGCCCAGTGGTGGTGCTACCCATAGCTGATAATGGCCTAATGGTTTGTTTTAGCTGTTCAGCTTTACTGGACGGAATGAGCAATTGAATGCAGTAACAGCATTAAGGTTAATGTGATAAAAGGTCCTTGATAGCTATAACATAGCATGTAGCTCCCATAAGAGTAAGCGGGATGCGACGAATAATAAATGGGATCCATGTTACGCTTCTAGTCACATAACGATAAAATTATTTCAGTAATGGCGTACTCTGTTTAGATTTGGACGAATATAGCTCGTTGGAAAAGCGGAAAATCTTTAGGGATACCCGAAGATGCCGCCCAAGCATCTAGGATCCGGACCTCTGCGTGTAACACTAACTCATATTGAAATCTACTTAGATTGAGAAAACGGGCTGTCGTTTCAACGTGCTCATTGTTTGTACTCACGTTGCGACATTCGGAAATAGTAGCAATGGCTATACAAAGTCAGCAGGTAAAGTTTCAGATTTGAAATTGTGCCTTGCTAACGCAGACGGCCCCCAAATACCTTCAAATGGCATCGCGAGTAGTCTATGGGGTCGGGCAGTGTCGGATCAAGCCTGGGTCAATTCTGATCTTCGGTCCTGTCAGTCATAAAGGAAGCTGAAACAATAATAACTTTCATAACAGTTAGTTTCTTCCGGATAACCCGTTTCATGAACCGACTGTGTTTAGAATAAAGAACGAGCGAATGTCTATCAATTCTGTTCGAGAAAGAGGGTAACACTCCCGCTGCTACCGTTATTGTGCCGCTGTCGTTGTGAGCGTCACATCGCACCAGCAGACCAACCCTCCAGAACTGAGCGGTGCGACGTAAATCTTCAAACAAGAGCATAGTGGCAGCTGTCAAGTATAAAGGCCGAGTGCCAATGGTCCGCTGGAATGCGGTATAGTGGTCGAGTGTTAGACAACAGCGGCTCCCACGCATTTTTAACGCCACGGAAGCAATTTTCTTGATCTGAATTTTTAGTTTCGCACAGCTGCTTAATAGAGTCGATCGGCTGAGGTTAAAAAATGTGAATTACTTTTCCTTCGCCGAAGATACGCGGTCAAGTTGTCCTGAAGCAATACCATCTTGTCTAGATGACTGGCTGCTGCCTGAATATGGACACAATTGACGGAGGATTTAGTCAGGGCCAGCTAACACCGCAAGGACGAGCGGGCCCTTAAACGGCGTCAAAGCGCTGTGATATCGGAAAGGAAAACAGTTTTGTCATACTTCCAGGTCTAAGAGCATATGCAGTCTGTTTTTTGTGCTTTATCTCCTTTTTTTCGATTTTCTTATGCGTTTTTCCCCTAAATCGCGTTGCATTCTGCTTTTTTTTTAATCCACTGCGTCATTATGTGTCGCCGAAACAGTTTTGTTAGAACGGCCTCGCTGAATAGAATTACTACCACTATTACCACAGAAATAAGCACTATTCTTCATGCCACGATTTCCTGTAGATAGCATTAGCCGATGCATACCCAATGCTTTCGAATTTACCTCCAGCGCGTGCAAGACACTTATGCCCATAACGAATATACCTCCATTCATTATACTATCTGGGATAACCTAGCGATCTGGGAGCAGTTTAACGGTCCCAATGTACGAATGAGGTATTAGTCTTTCAAAATGCCTCAGAATAACTCTTGTGGAAAATATAGTAAGGGTAATATCGAGGATTCAATTTCTAGCCGAAACCGTTAAGCTATTGCTCACCCTTTACCAGCAAACCCAACGTCAACAATGATTGTTCAAATTCGTTGCCCTTATGCCTTATTCGTTCCCTTCACTGGCATGGTGTCTAGTAGCTTCAAGCAAGTAACCATGTTTAATTACCAGGGTACTGAAAGTCGACAGCAAAGGACAAGGGGTATTCCTTCGATAAAGCCTTATTCAGTAAATTGCCTAATATCGTACGACCGAGGCTTTCGCGGTTTAAGAACTAAAAGCCTATGATTACAATTGAGACCAGAATTGATGAGTGCACACTTTTTCCTAAATAAGTCTAATGCGGCGCGGTTTTTGAAATCCTATCCTCTTTCTTTTCTTCTTGTATGCTCCCATCCAAGTAACTGCAAATCTGTAGTTTTTGCCGGTTTGGTAAAGTGGCGTGAACACTAGCAGCGGGTCCAGACATCTAAATGGAGATCCTGCTTTAACGAAGCATTTAGCGGCCATTTCGGGTTGACGCTAGTATACATTAGATACTGAATGGTAGACATCGAGCCCGTTGCTGATAAAGCAGAGGCTGCGATTTGGTCACCTATCTGTCAATGTATAATAATCTCGGCCGTGTTACTGTTACCAATATTTCCGGATTATATCTTTGACGCTCGCTTATGCTGGTCGGCAACGAATTCGGCGCATAGTCGGTAGACTAACTTTCCTTTTTCTCACCGTACCTGTTGGTGAACCCATAGCTGATGTGATCATGCTGCAGTCGGCTTGGCACGTGGAAAAAGAAAAGTGTATGAACGTAAGGGTATTCAAAAGAGAGTAAGTTGGAGGCATTTAGAGGAAAGGCGACATGGCGCTGGATAAGAAAAGCTAGCAGGTATCAATTCTACTAGGCGCAGTAGAGCTGTTAGGAGGGAGCAAGGACTCGTAGGCTGTACTGACCGCGTCGACTTACCGCATCTCGGAAGAGATTTGAGCAACAAACGTTCTTCTCTTGTGGTGGAGTGGGTGGCAGGCGCCGCGCTCCTTCGCCTCCGCCTGACCCGAGAATGATGATGGTGCGTTGTTCGTCGAGGTTCATGTCCTAGTTTACACCAAGCGATAAACAGCGATAGGTGTAATCTGACGAAGAACAGGGAATCGAGTAACAAATACGACCGAAAACGAAGGGGGGCAGAAAGGTTTTGACGAATGACATCCCTCGAGTTCCGGACCCTGCCAGCGACAACCTCAACCTAGACCATCTAAATCAAACATATATTCTGTGTCCGTTTTGCCACCCTCACAAAACAGTAGCTTTGTCCCAGCTCAGCCACAGCGTAAATTCATAGATCATCGCCCACAGTTGCTCGACAGAAGACAGACGCCATGATAACCTATGGGCTAACCACGAGCTAGATGCCTGTATACGGGATTTTTTTTACGCTTTTACATACACGTTGCTGCCACCCTGAGACAGTCTATAGTAAACAAATAAGCAGAGATGGATAGATGGGTCTAGGTGAATCAGTGTAATGGGATGTCATATTGTACTTGACATATCTACTCTGGAGTTACCAATTCTCATTATAGTTGTACTGCTGATAACGCCGAAGACCAGAGGCAAATAGGCAATGAGCTTCTTATAACGATTACGCAAAGGTCACACTTTTTTCCACTATACGCTAATGCTATCATCTGTTACTAAGCAAGCACAGCACTTCCGCACGAGCTAACGAGAGAATCCTTATGTTCAATTGGTAAAACTAGCGTCATTGGCATGGTTTAAACAAAGAATAGTTTTTCTTTCAAAATCATCAGGAGGTAGCAAGAAACATCAGATTTTGCTCCTTGAGCAAAACGAGCAGCATGAGTTGCCTCTTTTCCCATCAAATCCTTCTTGACAAAATAAACTTTTAGAAACTATTGTTTAGGTATTATATTAAAGATATTCAAAGTTTCTCTTTTTGGTTAGTTTTTGCCTTTTATCTATTTTGTGTACTAACTTACGTATCTTCAACTTTAACACGCTTCACACTTTTTACATTTGAAGAGGTAAATGATGGATAGCAAAAATGTTTAGATGATCCAAACAATGAGCTGGTGCCGAAAAAGTTTGCCGTATAGACTTCCCGTTCCCTACACTTTAATACACGTTTGAAGGCCCATATCAATCAATTTCTTGCTGGTGCCCCACTCCGTTCAACTGGCGTTACATGCTCCGCACATAACAACTAAACTTACCTGCTGTCGTGAATTATGCTCATCAGCGAGGCTATTAGAAAAAGTCACCAAGGTCGACAAGTTTTTAAATATGTACAATATATATATATATATATATAACTCTTCAGCTTAAATTATCGCCTTAATTTGTTTAAACAGTTTTGAAACTCCATTATCAACGTATCTCTAAGGTAAGTTTTTCTTAATACACTCTTCAACGTGTTCAATCCCTATTTCCTTTGGGATTAATTAACGAGTGGAGAAGACGTACTATTGATTGAACTGTGCTATTAAAAAATGAAAATCCTTGTTTCTTTGTAAAAGCATACTTAGAGCCAGTGAAAGCTGCATAGAATAGAATACATTGTTTTTCAAGCCAAATTTCTTGTCCTTTTCTTTACGTATGTTTCTTTCCCTTGCATTGGCAGATAGTGTTTATGCTGAGCTGTTTATTCCACCAAACGAGTGCCGTAAATACTATTTTTCGCTGCGAGGGTTTTCGTTCTTCCGAAACTGCTCAAATGTTCTTAGGTTGATTTATAGGCGGAGTTATCCTTTTCGCATTTTGCTTCTCTTTTGCGCTACCGATGCTGAAGTTTCTTTTTATGCTGACCCAGTAGTTTTTCACGACCATCTCCCTTTCAGCGATTTTGTGTTTTTCCTTGTGATTCCCCAGCTAAGGTTTGATACGAGTGGATCTCGTCACCTCCAGAAACTGATCTCCGATTTTAGTTTTCTTTTCAGCCGCTACGTAAGCTTTAATCTTATCGTTTAGTTAGTTGTCCTGGTCAAGCCCAGACGCTGTGTAATGGCGACCGTGTCCGCTTCGATTCGCTTGACGATGACAATTTCTCTTCATTGCCCTGCCCACGATCGACTCTCTGAGATCCTCGAAGGACAGAAATCAATTGCCATTATTAGCGAGAGTCAGCTGCCTGTCCTTCCCCCGCTTAGGTAGGCGTCCTTTTCCATATATGCTTCTGGAGATTTTGTCACTGCCTTTTGGACACATAACTCATTAAGGCACTTTATTGCTGGGAGCAGGCAGCATTATGGACGTCACGCTAGGACAAATTGGTACTGACGATGCCACTGGAGTTCACGAAAGATGTTGCAAGTTTACATTTGTAAGTGTTACTGAGAGGACTAAAGAGAAAGGAAGAAGGGCCGTTAGACTACCCCGATTGACCTGCAAAAGTCGAGTGGCCGAACGAAAGAAGCGGGTAAGTAAGCCAACCTTTCTAGCAATTACATTCTACAATAGGTTGTTTCGCAACGTCGATGGCCCAACGAAGCGCGAGTAACGCGCGTAGCAACTGGGTCTAACTGGCGTAGCCAACGGGTCCGTTATAGTCTGCACCGATGATCAGCATACAGCTTTCGACACAACTCAACTTACGACATCGGGAATAGGGCGTCCCATTGGGGCTCTGCGTGTATATGTGTGCGAGTGCCAAAATCCTTAATTATTGACTAATGTGCCACTTTTGGTTCAACCCCGCAGGCATGTTAAAATATTCATAAGAAGATAGCCTCGCTTCAACATTCTTGTCTCGGCTCGCTTAAGCGACTGCCCGGTATCCCTTACGCGACACCATACACTCACTTGAGTCCACACCCAAGAGGGTACTAGCGAAAAATTATTCAGAAAGGGCATAAGGAACATACGTAATCCTTACTTCCATCTCCACCGCTGTCTCTTACATACGCGCACCATGCACATTCAACTAAACGCTGAATTAGATTAAAAAAATGTTCAAATAAGCTTTAGAATTACACAAATGGATTTGTTTATAATTCACCGTGGAATTATTGTAACTGCCTCCTGAGCACTATACGAAGTACTTCGAATGTGTTTATTTAGAAATATCGTAATAGAAATTAATTCGTCAGGGAATTTCCCCATTTCGTTCGCTTTTGTACGAATGCATAGTCAAGCTTGTCTTAAACGCTCATTTAATCGGTCCTATTCTTAATGAATGTATGTCGTATGTAACCTTAGGATAATGAAAAGGTCTCACATAGTAGTAGACTCTGCTTTCTAATATTTTTAATTGTTACACAAGAACGTCTAATTGAGAGTGCCTGCAGTTATAAGCTGGGCCTACGTCAACCTATCTAAATCTTACCACGTACGCAAGCAACGAGCTAGCACGAATTAGACATTTACATATCCTGGGTTTAGTAAGCTAGCACATAATAGGAGAGGCATTCAAGCGGCTCCCTTAATTATAATTACTGTATATATACGCCTATGTAACCGTATTTCGATATCTAGTACATCTGCTACAATAATTTCATACAGTTACAAACATTTTCATGTTCGACAGAAGGGGTTTAATGAAAGGCAGAACTTGGCTCTACCATGTGGTCCATTTAGTAATCAATGTACGGTAATCATGGTTATTTATGCTTTAACAGTATCGGTTATCATCAAATCATGGATCAAATGAGTGAGTTCTGCTTTATACGACATCGTTGATCCTCCGTGAATACTACTGCCCCTTTGTGCTAATGTAATGATGCCTGTAGATTATAGACCTAGTTACGAACCAAACAAATATATACTATTACGTTAAGATTGGCCGATAGTCCAATCGATTTATCATTACATCGTTTGGCATGTTAGTGGCAAACGTTAGAACTGGTCCGGTGAAGGTACAGAACAGTATTACAACCAGCAAGAAGTTGCGTCGTTCATTTGTCTGCTCTCGAATTGCGTGCGGATATGGGTCAGATGCACTGCGCCCTCGCTGGCTCTTCAGCTGTCCGTCTCTTCTTCAGACAAACGAGCAGTGTCTTTGTGGCCTTTTACAGCTGCTGTTGGAGATAAAAGGTTGGGATTTGGTATCTACCAGCTCAGTCGTTTCGAGTTTTGTAGTAGCTAAAACAATAACAGTCACGGCTGCCATTTTTCTTGTTGTCGTTTTTGGAAGCAGCGACAAAGATAGTAGTCGAACAGCCATAGCAGCAGCAGGCACACTTAAAACGTCAGACAGATTGAGCAAGAGGCAATCGTTCCTTCATTTGAACTCCTTTACATCGAAATCTAGAATTTAACATCAATAGTGGCAAGATCAGCATCAACATCCCAACCCTTTACAGACAAACAAACTTAATTAAAAAAGAGATGACATAACCGCAACAGAGAGAGGCAGAAGTCCATAGACGGACAAAAAGGCAAACCTCAAGCAAAAGAGGTCCACCTTTTCCACCCACTTCTTGTCTTTCTCTTTTAGCGGGATCTGCCGACAGCGCTGGGACTGCTGGTCTCGTTGTTGTTTGCGAGCCTGCTTGCCTTCTGATCGGATGGCTCGTAGTAGCTTCTTACTTTATAGGTTTTCCTTGCTCCACACTGTGCCGACTCTACTCCCCAGCGTGCCTTTACTGGACTCCCGTTCCTTTTTGCTCGAAGAGGAAAGCCGAGGACAAAACTCCTTCGTGCACAGTCCGTATTGGCTTTGGGCCAGGAAAACTGACGCCGCGCAAGCCAGTGCAGAATGGAGTGAAAGAGCGAAAGGCAAAATGGTTTTTAAAGGAGGAAGAGGGTTAGAGAGACTAAAGAAACATCGAACAAGTCCTTTTAGATTTATCAGATCTCTACTCCGGTAAGGAGAATGCGAAGAGAGAGAAAAGTTAATCTAGTGGTTGTTGACTTTACATTGCTACTCCGCAAGCGAACAAAAGGCGAGGCTAAAATCGCAAAGCAAGGGCGCGGTGACAAGCAAGAAAGTCCGAAGAGAGTTCAACAAGAAATTGAAGTCTATGCTAGCCAACAAGTCAAGAAAAAAAGAAAGAAAGCGTTACCGAGCAAAGAAAGGCCAAAAAAAGTCGAAGACGCAAGCCCGCAGTACAATCCGCCGATTAGTCGATTGTAGGTCT